TTCGCTCTGGCTTTCCACAGTACCACGTAGTTTTATCTCCCTCACCTTCGGGTGACCTTTCTACTTTCTGTCCTCAGATGCTGTTCTTAGCCACTTTCTTCCCCACCTGGGAAGGTGGCATCTATGACTTCATTGGGGTGAGTTGCACACGGGAGGGGCCCGGAGTGCGGGTGTGGGTTCCCCCCCGGCCCCTTTGGTTTTTGACTCAAGTCTCTACCTGACCCACAGGAATTCATGAAGGCCAGTGTGGATGTGGCGGACCTGATAGGCCTAAACCTTGTCATGTCCCGGAATGCAGGCAAGGGGGAGTACAAGATCATGGTTGCTGCCCTGGGCTGGGCCACTGCTGAGCTCATTATGTCCCGGTGTGTGGAGCGACCTGGAGCCCAGGCTTCTGGGACAGGACACCTGGTTCCCACAGGGGTGCTGGAGGGTGGGGATCAGAGTCTGGGTGTCCAGGGGGGTCTGGGTACTGGAGACTGCCTCCCTTTGCCTTCCTCAGCTGCATCCCTCTTTGGGTGGGAGCCCGAGGCATTGAATTTGACTGGAAATACATCCAGATGAGCATTGACTCCAACATCAGTCTGGTATGCAGCCCTGCCCCCCCCCCACCTTCACGCTGTGAACCATACTTCTCCCCCAAACTTGGCCCCCAACTTCCCATTTCCTCCCCTGCTCCCTGCAGGTCCACTACATAGTCGCCTCGGCTCAGGTCTGGATGATAACACGCTATGACCTGTACCACACCTTCCGGCCTGCCGTTCTCCTCCTCATGTTCCTTAGCGTCTACAAGGCCTTTGTCATGGAGTGAGTCGGTGGGGTTTGAGGCTGGGTTCGAATGGGGGTGTGTTTAGTCTTTCCTTTCCTCATTGTGATATCCTCCCCCCCCCAGGACCTTCGTCCACCTCTGCTCGTTGGGCAGCTGGACAGCATTGCTGGCCCGGGCAGTAGTAACAGGACTTCTGGCTCTCAGCACCTTGGCCCTGTATGTTGCTGTGGTCAATGTACACTCCTAGATTGTCGGCCCAGGTGTTGGCATACCTTTTTTGCTGCCTCTCTCCAGAATTTACTGAAATAAACAGTGTTTGGAAAGGTTTTTTTTTGTGCGTCCATTTCTCTGTCAGAAATTAATCCTAGGACTGTGTCATTTAAGTCGTACAGAGCCCATCTGTCTTCGGAACCAGGGAGACAAGCTGGCCAGTCCTCCTTGTTTCCCCATGGAAATCCGAGGGTTTGATAATTATTGAATAAGCTAAGGAATGGGCACACTAAGCTGGGCGTTGGTGGCGCACACCTTTAATCTCATCACTCGGGAGGTAGAGGTAGAGTTCGAGGCCAGCCTGGTCTACAGAGTGAGTGCCAGGACAGCCTCCAAAGCTACACAGAGAAACCCTATCTCGAAAAACCAAGAAAAGAAAAAACAACAAAAAACAAAGGAATGGGCACACTAGGATTCAAGAGGGGGATTTGTAGTGGAGGCGAATTTCTCCTCTCTTTACAGCTTGGCCTGAGCCTTCTTCCTTGTGGAGACTTCCCTAGGCTGGCTACCTCCAACACTCAGCCACCCCCCTCCTTCCCCACTCTGATCTATCCCCCTGTGTGACAGCCAGGGGGGTTGATCGCCTGAAACCTGTCTAACTAGGACACCATCCTCGGCTTGTAACTCTGTGGAGCGTCACTGTACAGTCGCCAGTAGCAGCCTGTGCCCTTGATCTGTCTGGAGCTGCTCCTTGCAATGATTTCCCTAGTCAAATTCCTATCATCGTTCAAGCCACAAGGCCACTATGAAGAGTTTTGATTCTGAGTGTCTCCATGCTTCAGCGCACTTCTGAAGCCTTCAGATTAAATCCTGGTTTAAGTCTCTTGAAGAGGGGTTCTGGGTCGTTATGGCACCCCAGCCCACCAACTTGGTACCGTCCGAGGTGCTAACTCTACCCACTCCCTCTTCCTGAGAAGGGTGTCAGAACCAAGGCCTTGACTGTCTTCTTTAAGCCCCACCTTAACAGAAAGCTACTGTCAGCCTTGGTCTTCACGGTGTCCTCACACCCCACTGCACGGGGAACAGGACAGTTGCCCCCCCCCCACTCTCGCTGGGCTCTTAAGATCCTGTGTGTTGTTTTCACCTTAGAGGCTTGCTATGACCGTGTTTACAGAAGGCACATTTGTCCGTCCGTGGACGACTTCTTCCCCCACCCTTCCTCGGTGCCTTGAGCATCCCCAGTAGCTTTGTGTACCGAGAGTACACAATGTCCTTGACTTTGCATGGACAGAAAGTAGACGGGATGCCCACTCGTGTGTAGGGGAAGCTGTAGCCACGCCTTCTTAGGGGCTGGCTACAGGTGTGCCTGACCACGCTTGTGAGGGCATGGTCAGAGTGACCTAGTGTGACTGCGTTTGTGCTTTCCGTTTCTTTTTGCTACTTGCTGTACAGGCTGCTGACCCATCGCCTGGCTAGGTCGCTCTGTAAGTAAGGCTTTTCCCTATTAAATACCCTTATATTTCTACCTGACTCCGTATTGGTAATTTCCCACTATATCGGTGTCCATTGGGATTGCTTTCTCATGGGCCTCCATCTTGTGACCTGCCTGTCCCTTCCTGGAGATGACAGAACTAACCAGCGTCCTAATGGAGAGGCCAGGGCTGTGATTAGAGGTCTGGGTGGAAAGCCTGCAGGTCTCCGGGTGCTCTGGGGAGCTGTATCAGCCGAGTTCTAAAGGACCAGTTAGTGGAACAAGCAGAAAAGGAAGTGTTGAGGCCTGGGGTCGGGAGTGATGGCCAGTGTGAGTTCCCTCAGTCCCAGCAGGAGAGACTGGAGATGACACAAGTCCTCTGGGCTTGAGGGGTAGGGAGTAGGGGTAGACAATGACACAGAAGGGAGCAGAGACAAGCTGAGGTTTCCAGGGAAGGGGGTTGGGACTTTCCCAGCAACGGGAGGAGTTGGCTCTTCAGGAGGAAGGGGTTTGTGGGAGAACCTGCATGATTTGGTAAGGACACAAAGACACAGGCACCAGCACATGGAATCAAAGAAGACCCTTTGGAACGTGGCAACAGGCCGCTTGCTGTATAAGCCTGGACCCCTGTGCCAAGAAGCTGGAGAGGAGGGGGGGGTGTTACTGAGAATACCCCAGGTAGGGCTCAAGGGTAGTAGGATGTTTCAAGGCCATGCATGCTCTGGAAATTATCTGAGATCATATCCCAGCTTGTCTTTAAATTGGTACCTTGGGCAAAGAAAAAGGAAGTAATTTCCCCCAAGGGAAATGTGTTTGAATCCCTACCTGAAGTTCTGCCCTAGGCCCTACAGACACTGCAGCCCTGTGGTAGGTTTGTGGGAAGTCAAGGGTACCCGTAAACAAGACGGCACGGTTGATGTGGTATGGTTTTATTACTGTCCAGCAGAACACGAGGGGGTCTGTGACAGAGCCCCCGGGCAACCTTCCTGTCCAGATGCAGTCCTTGGGATGGACATACCTCCCTCCCTAGGAACCGCCCACTGCTTAGTCCAGCCCCTCCCACCTCAGAGATCTGATCCAAGAGAGTGTGGAACTTTGAGATGAGAGGAGGAGCCCCTCCAAGGGGTGAATGGCTGCAGAAGTGGGCACAGCCAGAGCAGGGAATCGGGTGCATAGATGTTTAGATGCCACCCATAAGTGCCATCCCCACCATGCTACTAGGTTACTGAAGGCAGCTGTCCCCTCTAATAGTAGAGTTCCTGGTCCCACCAGCCTGGAGGAGAGAGGAGGAAAGCAACTCAGTGCTGGGTCACACAAGCAAGAGCAAGGTTATAAGCAGCAGTATTTTGATTTAGAGGGTCAAAGGCTTGAAGTCACGTTAGAGGTCAGGGGTCAAAGGGCTGCTCTAAGAACCACTGAGTTCCCGCTCACTCCCAGGCCCCAGCCTCCAGCCACACTTACTCCCTGGGCAACAGCGAACGCCAAGTTTCCGGATCTCATCATAGACAAAGATGAGGAGGCCAAAGGGCATGGGAACCAGCCACCACTGGAAGCTGAAGGACGAGCAAGGGACGGCAGGGTCAGGGCCGCGCCCGGGTCCCGAGTCTCCCGTCCCTTTGCCAACACGTCACAGCCGCTCACCGGATGGGCATGAAGTTAAAGATGTTAGGCATCCCTGGGCAATAACACAGGAAGCAGCCGATGCAGACCTGGAACACGATGGCGATCACCAGGATCCTGTTCCTGT